AAATAGACTCCAGATGGTTGAAAGACCTAAACGTGAGACAGGAGTCCATCAAAATCCTAAAGGAGAACACAGGTAGTGACCTCTTCGACCTCAGCCGCAGCAACTTCTTCCTAAAAACATCGCCAAAGGCAAGGGAAGCAAGGGCAAAAATGAAATATTGGGATTTCATCAAGATAAAAAGCTTTTGCACAGCAAAAGAAGCAGTCCACAAAACCAAAAGACAGCCGACAGAATGGGAGAAAATATTTGCAAATGACATATCAGATAAAGGGCTAATATCCAAAATCTATAAAGATCTTATCAAACTCAACACCCAAAGAACAAATAATCCAATCAAGAAATGGGCAGAAGACATGAACAGACATTTTTCCAAAGAAGACATCCAAATGGCCAACAGACACATGAAAAAGTGCTCACCATCGCTCGGCATCAGGGAAATCCAAATCAAAACCTCAATGAGATACCACCTCACACCAGTCAGAATGGCTAGAATTAACAAGTCAGGAAACGACAGATGTTGGCGGGGATGCGGAGAAAGGGGAACCCTCCTACACTGTTGGTGGGAATGCAAGCTGGTGCAGCCACTCTGGAAAACAGTATGGAGGTTCCTCAAACCGTTGAAAATAGACCTACCCTACGATCCAGCAATTGCACTACTGGGTATTTACCCCAAAGATACAAATGTAGGGATCCGAAGGGGTACGTGCACCCCAATGTGTATAGCAGCAATGTCCACAATAGCCAAACTGTGGAAAGAGCCAAGATGTCCATCGACAGATGAATGGATAACGAAGAGGTGGTATATATACACAATGGAATATTATGCAGCCATAAAAAGGAATGAGATCTTGCCATTTGCAACGACGTGGATGGAACTGGAGGGTGTTATGCTGAGTGAAATAAGTCAATCAGAGAAAGACATGTATCATATGACCTCGCTGATATGAGGAATTCTTAACCTCAGGAAACAAACTGAGGGTTGCTGGAGTGGTGGGGGGTGGGAGGGATGGGGTGGCTGGGTGACAGACATTGGGGAGGGTATGGGCTATGGTGAGCGCTGTGAATTGTGCAAGACTGTTTAATCACAGATCGGTACTTCTGAAACAAATAATGCAATATATGTTAAGGAAAAAAAAGAAGAAGAAGAAGATAGCAGGAGGGGAAGAATGAAGGGGAGTAAGTCGGAGGGGGAGACGAACCATGAGAGACGATGGACTCCGAAAAACAAACTGAGGTTTCTAGAGGGGAGGGGGGTGGGGGGATGGGTTAGCCTGCTGATGGGTATTAAAGAAGGCACGTTCAGCGTGGAGCACTGGGTGTTATGCACAAACAATGAATCAAGGAACACTACATCAAAAACTAATGAAGTATGGTGATTAACATAACAATAAAAAATTTTTTAAAAAGAAAAAAAAAGAGTCTATTAGCTAGTCCACAGACCTTATGGGGACTTTACCAACTATCTCCATAATGTCCTTCATACCAACAGAAAATCCTGGATCCCACACAGCATTCAGTTGTCATGTCTCCTCTAATCTGGAACAGTCCCGTCTTTGTCTTTCGCGATCTTGTCGTTTTTGTTTTTTTTTTAAAGATTTTATTCATTTATTTGAGAAAGAGGGAGAAAGAGCATGAGGGAGAGGGAGAAGCAGATTCCGTGCTGAGACGCAGGGCTCGATCCCAGGACCTTGAGATCACAACCTAGAGCCGAAGGCGGATGCTTAACAGACTGAGCCACCCACGCGCCCCGATCTTGTCATTTTTTAAAGCATGCAGTCCAGTTATTTTATAGGGCTTCTCTCAGTTTGGGTGTGTCTCCCATTTCCTCATGATCACATCCACTGTAAGAGTTTCTGTCAGCTGCGCCACAGAAGTGATGCTGTGTCCTCCTCAGTGCATCGTTCAGGGGGTACACGCGTCAGTTTGCTCCATTGCTGCTGAAAGGAACTTTGATCACTTACTGAAAGTGATATCTGCCACGTTTCTCCACTGTAGAATGACTATCTTTCCGTTTCCAATTAATAATTATATTTAGAGGGGCGCTAAATTACATTTAGGGTGGCTCAGTTGGTTAAGCATCTGACTTAGGCTCGGGTTGTTATCTCATGGTCCTGGGATGAGCCTCATGTCAGGCTCCCTGCTCAGTGGGGAGTCTGCTTGCCCCTCTCCCTCTGACCGTCCCCCCTGCTTGTGCGTTCTCTCTCTCTCTCTCTCTCTCTCTCAAATAGAGTCTTTAAAAAAATTATATTTATGGTAACACTTTGAAACTATAAAATTTTGGGGCGCCTGGGTGGCTCAGTCATTAAGCGTCTGCCTTCGGCTCAGGTCGTGATCCCAGGGTCCTGAGATTGAGCCCCACATCAGGCTCGCTGCTCAGTGGGAAGTCTGCTTCTCCCTCTCCCACTCCCCCTGCTTGTGTTCCCTCTCTCACTGTGTCTTTCTCTGTCAAATAAATAAAAATAAAATCCTTAAAAAAAGAAACTATAAAATTTCACGTTTCTCATCAAATTTTCCTATCCATTGATGTTTCTTCTTGGAATCCATTATTATTAGAATGGTTGCCTAATGGTCATTTTCTAACTCCATCATTCCTTCTACTGGAAGGAGGAGCTTTGTCTTCTATTCATTCATTCATTCATTCATATTAGTATGGACTCATCGATTCTTATTTAATGGGTTATGATCCATCATTACTGTTTTTTTTTTTTTACATTGGAATTGTCCTAGATTTGTCCAGTAGGAACCCCCCTTTCAAGCCACAGAGCTGCCACTTTTAAATACGACATTGCACTATGTCCCTTGACCTTGACCAGAAAGGGAGCCATGTCTGTGGGCAAGCAGTCTCTGCTGCATGGGTACTGAAGTGCTGACACCCTGACGTGGGCAGGCTGGGGTTGGGAACAAAGGATTTAGGCAGTATGGTGTCCTGGGGTGCTGTGCAGGTCCCTGGGGATTCATTCACTAGTTGAGCACTGACTATGGCTTCAGCTCTTAAGAAGCTCATAGAAAATGGTGGGGGGAAGGGGCGGAGAAAGCCCAATAATCACAATCGTGCAGTTTCTAAAATCAAGAACTTCTGTATCCCAAGAGGTAATATGAGTGGCTCTGTGAGATGTGTAAATGTAGGGCAAGTGGGCAATTGGTTGGGGGGAGAGGGTTGTTTGAGTGTCAAACATATTTGGTCACTTGGGAAGCCTAGTGGGCCAACCTGCATAAGAAACCTGGGGCCTTCGGGAGGTAAAAGATGGTAGTCACAATCCCAGGCAGGAAGGTATAACAAAGCCTCTGAAATCAAACTCTACTATATCAAGGGAAGGAGGAGCCTTGCTGGTGACCAAGGCTCCACACAAAGACCGCATAGTTGAGGGGTCCTATGCCTTACACAGTAAAATAAGGTAGGTGCTGTGATGTCAGTTTCACAGAAGATGTGGCTGTTGGAGTGACCGGCCCTTCAGGCCATGAAAACAGCATGAGCAAGAACAAGGGGGATAAACTGCAACACGCCCCCATTTTGCCCCCCGAAAGCTGCCCCTTTTGAGTGGAGCCCCAGGCACTGAATATAACCCTCACATTTATACTGGAACCCACTCAGTTGGGCACAGCCCCAAATGTCTGGACCAGGTCCAGATTCAAATTCCAGTTCTTGTACTTCCCAGCCGGGTGACTTTGGAAAGTCGCTTGACCTCTCTGAGCCTCCTCTAATATATTTCCTCAACATGTATTTATTGAGGGCTCACGATGTGCTGAGCCCTGCTCTAGGCACAGGACATGCTGTGGTGAACAAGGTAGACAAGAAGCTTACATTCTGTTTGGGGAAGCCAGACATTAAATAGTAAACAAATATAAGCAAGGTAATACCTTATGGAGATATTAAGGTTAATATAAGAACAGATTTCAGAAGTGGGGGCTCCTTTAGGCAGGGCATTCAGGAAAGGCCTCTCTGAGGCAGTGACTTCTAAGCTGACCTGAGAGATGAGAAAGAGCCTGGCCATGAACAGAAGAGGACATAACTAGTGCAAAGGACCTGTGGTAGGAATAAGCTAGGTGTGTTTGAAAGACAGTAGGAAGGGCAGTGTGGCTGAAGAGTAGTGGGGGAGGGGAGAATGGAAAGTGAGGCTGTGGAGTTGGGTAGAGGCCAGATGGCTTAGGGCCTTATAGACCATAAGGAGGAGTATAGTTTGTACTCTAAATGCAAAGGGAAGCCATTGAGGGTGTTAAACCAGCGGGTGGGAGTGTGTTTAAGAATCTGATCCTTGTTTTAAGAACTTTGGTGTGTGAAGAAAGCCTTTGGGGGCAAAGTGGGGAGGCTATCAGGAGGCTTGCTGCCATTGTCCGGGTAAGTTGACGGTGCCTGGACCAGGTGGTAGCACTGGCGGTGGGGAAGAGTGGTCAGATGGCGGACAGTGTTGGAGGTAGAGCCCCCTGACTAGTGGGGAAGAAGGGAGAAAGAGGAATGGGCTTGAACAACTGCAACTGGGAAGTCTGGGGGTACCGGGGGCTGAGGTAGGGTTGGTGGTCGGGAGTTGGATTTTTGCCATCCTCATCGGGCACCCGGCTAGAGGTGCAGAGTGGCCAGTCTGGAACTCAGAGACGCTCTTTGGGGATCATGGGCATATGGTTGGCATTTAAAACCACGGGACTGGATGAGATCATCAAGACAGAGGGTGTAGGTTGAAAGAAAAGGCACGGGGCTGTCGACTGCAAAAGGAGACAAATGACACCTCCGCCCACGCGGCTCTCGCGAGGTATCACGTGAACGCACCCAGCCGATGTTCTAACGGGGGTTGAGAATCCTGGCCGCGCTGAGGCCTTGCGGAGGGGGCGGGGAGGGAGGGGAGGGGAAGGGAATGGGGCCTCTGTGGGCGGGGCCTCTGTGGGCGGGGCCTCTGTGGGCGGGGCCGAGAGCCGGGAGGCCGCTCCGGGGCCGGAGGGATCGCCGGGCGGTGACGTCACCGCATGACTGGGTTTTTATGAATGAAAGGAATCCTGTGAGTGAGTAATTCCGGGAAGCTCGCCTTACAACTCCGCGCCGCCCCCCGCGCCGCCCGCCCCACAACAAAACTCGGCGCGGCGCTCTCGGGAGCCCGGCTCGGAGCGACCGGCGGTCGGGACCGGAGGGGAGACGGACCAGGGCGCGGGCCGGACCAGCAAGCCCGGACGGCAGCGGCAGCCGCGCGTGCCCGGGGCGCCACGCGAAGCGGGCCGAGAGGCGGGTGAGGGACGCGGGTCCGAGACCGGGGCGGGCGCGCGAAACCCGAGGCGGCGGGGTCTCCGCGCCCGGGAACGTGCCTGGGGCGGGGCGGTGTATCCCTCGCCCGGACGGGGGGGCGTTGGGGGGGCGGGGGGGGGAGCGGGGGCCAGAGGTCCGGCAGGACCGGGACGCGGCCCAGGCAGGCTTGGTGGGGTGCGGTGGTGACGGGCCCCTTCTGGGGGCGCGCGCGGGGAGGCGGCCGAGCGGGGCAGGAAGGGGCAGCGCAGGCCGGCGAGCGTCAGCGTCCGCCCAGGCGGGGCCGGGGGCGGTGTGTGCACGTACGTGACTCGGTGAGAACAGTCCCTGGACCGGTGCCCGCGGGCCGTGCGTGCGCGGTTTGTTTACGTCCGAGGGCGGGAGTGCGTGTGTGTTCCCGGGCCAGTGTCCCTAGCATCTTGCCCGGTGCGTGCGTGAGAGAGGGAGAGGGAGAGGGAGAGGCGGAGAGAGAGAGAGAGAGAGAAGAGAGAGAGAGAGAGAGAGAGAGAGAGAGAGAGAGAGTGTGTGTGTGTGTGTGTGTGTGTCCTGTCTGTGTCCGCCCGCGTGCTCCCAGGGCGGTGAAGACCCTGGGGCCTGCGTACCAGCCCTGTGTACCTCGGAGAGAGTGTGCCCACAGCAATAAACGCGGAATAAGGATTCGATCGAGAGAAGTGGCCCGTTCCATGGTCACACGGGGGTACGGGAATTTTCCCTCGGGCTGTCCCCTTCCGACCAGCCCGCAGCCAGGCCCTTGCTGTCCCTGGAGTTTCCCGGGGACACGGCCATGTGATTGCGGTGTTTGTCCCCCGCCCAGAGCCAGCGGCGCCTGCAGCCACAGGGTGGGGCAAAGTATCAAAAGCCCCACCCAGCTGGGCTGGGGGGTGAGATGAGCGGGCCACCCCTGGCCTCAGCACCCTGATGGGTCTGGCAACAAAGTGGGCTGGTGCCTCTGTCCTTGTCCCCGGGTTTTCCAGCTGCCTGGGGAAGGCAGACCCTGGGGACTCTCCTTCATCCCCAGGGTTGCCCATCCCCTCCCTCTCAGGAGGAAGAAGGGCCAGAAAAAGGTGGGAGGTGGGAAGGAACCCCTGGCCGTCTCTCTTCCGTGGTTGCTCTTGGCTGGTCCTGGTTCTGGAGGTTGTACCTGCTGGGCTGGGGAGGGTGAGACCAGGCCGGTGGGGTGGAGCTGGTTTCTGCTCTCCTGCTGGTTTCAGTTCACAGGTGGGATTAGTCAGACCGGTTGATGGTTGGACCTGAGGAGCTAGTTGAAGGCCTGGGCCAGCCCTAGGACCCCGAGTCCTCACCCTGGGCTAGGCATGGTCAACAGGCAGTGGCACAGGTGGTCTTGGTCCATGAAGGGTTAATATGCGAGGGGTGGGGCCCTGACCAGCCTCCTCTCCCCATTAACCCTGTGGGATGAGATGGGGCTTAGGGATGCCTTGGTCCTATTCTGCGCCCCTCCCACCCACAGAGCTTAGAACGGGGGTGGGGGGTGGGGTGGTAATTGAGCTTGCTGGGGTGAGAAACCAGATGATCTTTTCACCGTGAATCTTTGAGCCCTGGTGAGCTCTGCTCCCACAGGTGGAAATTAGAGTGTCTCTATCTGCAGCAGGAACTAGGCAATATGTGGGGTGGCAGGATGGGTGTAGAATGGGAAGGTATGGCAGCCTCCACACACCGCCTATTTTCCAGGGGACCTGTGAGAGAGAAAGAAGAGCCCACAGCCCCAGCCAGGCTGGAGCCAGGGATGTCCAGGAGTATAGGGTTTTAGTAAGGGAGGTGGCAGCCAGGAGCACAGGAACCAGGCAGGCCCATCCTTCAAAGCTGGGCAGGAAACATCCCCCAGTAGGGCGGGGGGTCGGGACAAGGGGAAGTGGCTGGGTGGCTCACAGATGGAAAGCTAGCACTGAGAGTTTTGACCTCCCACTGAATCACCTCTGGGCCTTCCCTAGGGCCTGGGACCCAACATGGGTTCCTATGCCTCCCTCAGTCCTGACATTTTTACCCTGCGTTGCCACGGAGACTGTCATGGGCCAGATGCTGGGAGTGAGATGGTGAACAAACCAGATCCAGAGCCCGCCCTCTGGGACCTTATGGTCGAGGAAGGGGAGACAAAGTTGAGGAAAGAGCTACCAAATTCAATGCAAAACCACAGCTGAGATGGGTAGTATGAGGCAGAAGGCGCTGTGATTTGGAAAGTATGTAACAGGACTCCGACTTAGCCAGGGCAATCAAGGGAGGCTTCTCTGAGGAGGTGACCAGTGAGCTGGCTTGTCAGATGGAGGGATGGTCATCTGTGAAGCCCTTAAGGGCAGGGGCTGTGATTCATCTTTGGGCCTTTGGGACCCAGCAACAAGCCTGGCACGGAGTAGGTACTTCTTGGAGGTTTGCTGATGAAAAAAATGAATGAGCATTAGGTCCATGTCCTGGAAGAACTCCACAACATTTGGGAAAAAAAGTTCTGGGAACCCCAGAGGAGCAGGAAGCCCTAGGGGGTTCTTGAAGCAGTCTGTCAAAAGTGAGCAGACCCTTCAGGACCCAGGTGCCATCCCCCCTCACACGCACACACACACATGCACGCACGCACACAGACACACTCCCTGTGGGAAATGTACAAGGATGGGAGAGTTTACTGTCCTTTCCTTGACTTGTTGTGAGCATGAGGATCCTGGGAGAGAGCAGAGAGAGAATCCGATGGAGACCTGGGGGCCCCACTGGCGGGCTGGAGGGGAGGCTGGCCTGGCAGGGTTTTGAAGTGGCCTGAGCCTGGGCAGGTTTGTAGGTTTGTGTCAGCTGTCAGCAGTGCTCCCTCTGACAGCTCTGCGGGGAGGACAGATGACAGGGCCAGCAGTGGAGGCAAGTAAGACCAGAGGCCAGTGAGGAGGCAGCTGTGGTCATAGTTCCCCTGAAAGGGGAAGTGATCCCTGGCTATGCAGGTGGAGCAGAGGGATGGTCAAGGCTCACAGTCTCAAGAGTTTGTCTTCCCATGCCGCTGCCTCCAGGAAGCCTTCCCTGATTGCCTTTCCCTTCCTCCAGGGCCTCCGCTCTGTTGGTGGTCTTGGAGCTCCATTCTGGACCAGAATCTGACACTCAAAACTCCAGAATAATCAGTGCTGGAAGGTACTCTAGGCTCAGTGGAGGTTGGGCATGGTGGGAAACGGAGGTCCAGAGAGGGGAGTGACCTATCTGAGGCCGCGAGGTGTGAGTGGGTGGCGGAACCAGAGCTAGACTGCAAGGTCCCTGCTTCCCTGCGGTGCTGGGTTGTCCCAGCTTTGCTCCCCTTCCAGCAGGGAGGAGGCTCCACCAGCGCTGGCTGCCAAGGCCCAGGAAAACACATATTTTCCCTCTGTCCTCACGGAGGAAGCAGAATGGTTCAGCAGCCAGAGAGGAGCCCAGGCCAGTGGGTGGGCCGTCTACAGGATGTCTCTGGAGTGGACTAGGGGCCAGAGAGGGGAGGGCAGGAGGGCTGGTGGCTGCTGACGGGGCCAGGCCCGCCGCCAGTCCCTGAGAGTAAGTTCATTCTCCGTGCCTCCAAAAGAACTCTGGGAACCTGCAGACCTTGGAGTTCGGCTCTGCTGGCCTCAAAGGGAAGAAGAGAAAAAATAGGGGTGGGGTGGGCGAGAGATGTGGGGGCTGGCACTGAATAAAGGGCCTTGAACTGGGGGGGTCAGGACCATTTACCTGCTGTGCGACTTCAGGCAAGAGATGCCCCTTCCTCTTGGGCTAAGTCAGGAGGCAGGGCCAGATGCCCTTCAGGGGCCTTTCCTGTGTGACCCCAGCCAGCCAGGAGATGCTGAGGCCAAGCAAGGCCCCCAGCGCCTGCTACTGGCCTGACCCCTCCTGGACGGACTCAGCCATTCTAATAACCCCCAGGTGCTCATGGGGCTCTACAGTTTGTACCACTTGGCAGGTATTTTCTGATCCTACAATTGGAAAAGTGGAGACCCAGAGAGGTGGACCTTGCCCCAGGTCACGCAACCTGGAGAAGACAGAGGTGGGGCTCAAACCCAGGCTTGCCTCAATCCACTGCTCCTTTCCTTGCGTCCCATACCCCAGCCGGGGGCCAAGCATCACGGGGAGGGTGGAACCCCTTCTCCCTTCCCATCTTCCTGGCATCTGTGTATAATCCTTGCCATGCGGAAGCAAGGAAGCAGGTAGAAAGGAGGAAGAGTTGAAGACAGGGCAGGAGGTTTTTCTCCTGGACAGTGTTTGGCGAGGCTTGGGCTTGGCACTCGGTTCAGACACTGACAAGCTCGGTCATGGTGTCAGAAACCACCCACCCGCATCTCACCAGTGCCTGCTCCCTGGCCAGGCAGGCCCTGTGCTGGTGGCCTCAGCACCCAGAACTTCTTCGGCCTGCTTCCTGCCACGGAGCTCCCTGTTTGGTGGGGAGACAAGGAAACAGACCATTACAAGACAGGAGAGAAGTGCTAGGGTGGGCGGCGCCTGAGAAGTTCTGGGGGTCCGGGAGGGCTTCCTGGAGGAGGAAGGATGAGTAGGAATCTTCCAGATAAGGTCGGGGGAGAAATGTCACAGGGTGTGAAGTGGCCCAGAGGCAACAAGAGTGTGGGAGAGAGGAAGTGAAAGAAATTCAGTGTGGCGGAGGTGCCAAACGGAGGTGGGCAGTGATGGCAAGCAAGCCTGGGATGCCACGCAGGTGGGCCTGGACTCTGTCCCAGGGATAGTAAGGAGCCACGGAAGGTTTTCCTCTGGGTGGTGACATGGTCAGAGTCACATGCTGGAAAGATCCCCCGGTTGCTGTGTAGACGATGAGTGGAGGCCAGCAGGAGAGCATTCTAGGCCCTCCCTACGTGTGCGGGGGCGTGGGGAGGGGAAGCGGCCCTTTAAGAGGACTGGATTGATGGGGGTGGTGTATGAGGATCTCTAGTGGCGTCTGTGAAAGGCCACGGTCCTGACTTCGGACTTTCTAGGCCTCAGCGACACTGCAAGAAGCTTTGATGGCTCTGAAGACCTTCCCAGCCCGAGGGCCTTGGTGGCTGCCTTTATGAGGGGATCCCTTCAAAGGCCACACTCCCCCTCCAGTCCCGCTCCTTGCTCCCCTCTGGGGTGTCAGAGCCCCCGGCTGTATGGGCCCAGAGTTGCTGGGGGACTCCAGAGAAGCCGGGGCCTTTCGGCATCTCGGCCCGAGTCACCCTGAGAATTCAACCACCATTACTTGAGCATGTGCTGTGTTCCGGGCTCTGGGCACGGGAGATGCGGCAGAGGACAAGGCAGAGTCTTGGCTGCCATGGAGCTGGGCCTCTAATGGGGAGGCAGACACTGAGCAAATATGTACAATAGAAGAATGAGAATATATACAGTGGAAGGTACCATGGAGAAACGTGAGGTGGGGAGAGAGAGAGAGAGAGAGAGAGAGAGAGAGAGAGAGAGAGAGAGAGAGAGAGTGTGTGTGTGTGTGTGTGTGTGTGTGTGTGTGTGAACCAGGGGCTGGGAATTCTAAACTGAGTGAGAACAGGAGATTTGAAGAGACCCGAAGATGAGAAACAAGCTTGGTGGCTGTCCAGGAGAAGAGAAAGCCAGGCCCAGGGAGCAGCCAGTGCAAAGGCCCTGGGGAGGAGCATGCGTGGTGTATGTGAGGAACAACAAGGAGGAGGGTGTGGCTGGAGCAGATTGGGGAAGGGGAGCCAAGCAGGAGCTGAAGGCAGAGGGCTGCGCCCGGGCTACATGCAGCGGCTTGTGGGCCATTGTGATGACTTTGGCTTTTACTCCCAGTGAGATGGGAACCGTGGGAGGGTCCTGAGAGGGAAGTAGTAGGGGGAACCACCATCAAAAGGCCCCACGGGTGTCTGGCACCAAAGTCCATGCGCTTTGCATTTCTCCACAGCCTGTCCCAGGGACGCCTGGACCTGTGGGAATGTGTCAGACACCGAGCCGAGGCTGTAAGGTGGGCCCCACAGAAAGCTCGAGAAACCAGGGTTTGGACCCCGTTTGCCCCTGCTGCTCTCTAGCATCCTGGGTACTGCTAATGAGATCGATCGGATGCTGCATCTCAGGCCACAGGGCATCTTCTCGCCCTGTCGCCTTCGCTCCTCACCACCACGCCGCCCCGTGCGGATTATCAGATGAGGAAACGCAGGCTGACGATCTGCTGGGAACAGAGAGGACTGCTGCTTTCAAGGGGCCTTTGGGAGACAGTCCCCTTCTCGGCCCTGAGCAATGGCCACAGGCCTCCAGAATGTGCCCTCCATGTCTCCCCAGTGCCAATGTCTGGCATAGAGTAGATGCTCAAAAAATATTTGTTGAAGGGACATGGAACTTTCAGGCCTGTGGGGGAGACACTGAGGGCCACTGGACCCCTCATTGGTTTAGGGTATGGCTGCCCTGTCTGCCCAGGGCGGTGCTGAATTAGTGTTGGGTAGCTGCCAGGCGGGGAAAGCTTTCCCAAGACAGATTTGGGTGAGGAGGGCATGGGCTGGGGGAGCAGGGATGGGACTGGTTATGTGTTATTTTGATGGGGTGCAGGTTGGACTCTGAAAAGTCATTGACTAGCATATCATATATATTATATATATATATATATATATATGTATATAATTTTTTTTTTTAAGTAAGCTTTATGCCCAACACGGGGCTCGCTCATGACCCTGAGATCAGGAGTCGCATACTCTACCAACTGAGCCAGCCAGGTGCTCCAAATATGGTTTGTGCACTCTGCTGTATATAGGTTATACTTTAGTGAAAAGTTAAAAAAAAAAAAATCAAAGAGGCATATCTGGACCCCATGTGGGAGAATGGCTGGCGGGGGGGGGGGTGGGGGGGGTGTCCATGCATATTTATTGAGCACCTGCTATGTGCCAGGCACTGATTTAGGCACATCGATGCCATGGTAGGACAGGCAAGACCGAGTCCTCCTGAGTTTGCATTTTGGTGGAGGAGAGGTGGGACAGAGATAACCAAGTAACCAAACAAAATAATTGCACAAGAGGTGACTATGAGGGTTAGCCAACGGGGTGATGTCATGATACAGGAGGCATTTAGCCAGGATGGTTAGACCACTTCGAGGAGGTGACATTTGGCAAAGCTGTCAATGAAGAGTCACTGTGGGGAGGTGAAAAGGAAGACAGCAGTAAAGAGAGCGGCAGGTGCAAAGGCCCTGAGGCTGGAATGAACCATGCAAGGGGGCCAGTGTGGCTGGACCATTGGGACAGAGAAAGGTGGTATGACAGGACTTCCAGAGCAGCAGAGGCCCTGAATGCCAAGGTGGTGAGTTTGGGTTTTATTCAAAGTAGAAAGAAAAAGTGATCTTGGTCTCCTCTCTCTCCTAGGTCTCAGCCCAGAGGGCACCTTCTGCAAACATGTCTGTGGATCCCTTATCCAGCAAAGCCCTGAAGGTGAGGAGGCAGCCGCTGTTGCCCCTGTCCTCCCCCTCCCTCCTTCCCTAGGCTCACTGTCCCATCCCAACTTCCCAACTTCAGTTCCTGGAATCCTCAAGGGTGGCTGAACAGGCTTCAGGTGTTCATGAGGCCCCGGGAAGGGCCCTGGGCTGGAAACCAAGAGGCCTGGGCTCTGGTCATAGATGTGTGCCTCCAGGGGCAAGGCCTGGGCTCTGGTGGTAGGCTGTGTGCCTCCTGGGACAGGTCACTTCCCTCTCTGGGCCGGCTTCCCCATCGGAACCATGCTTACTGGGCTAGAGAGGACTTAAAAGGTGCTTTCTGGACCAGGTTTCTCTGGCTGAGTCCATCCAGGCTGGGGCACTGGGTTAGAATTTGGGCCAAGCCCCAGCGTGGTGGTTCCTTTTGTGTTCAGATCCTGGTTTGGCCCAGTTTCCCCTTTCTGGATTCCTTGCCCTCCCGTTTGGGGCCTTGGAGCAAGTCCAGCCTCTAAGTCTGGGCCTATGGTGGTGAAGGCGGAGCACTGGGGGTGGGTGGGGGGAGCCGTCTCCAGCACCTGCTGCGCGCCAGGCCCAGGGCCGGGGCCCACAAGCAGGGCGCGAACAGGGGCCTCAGTTTCTCCATGTGCCCAACATGCTGCCCCCAGATCAAGCGTGAGCTGAGCGAGAACACGCCGCACCTGTCGGACGAGGCGCTCATGGGGCTGTCGGTGCGCGAGCTGAACCGGCACCTGCGCGGGCTCTCCGCCGAGGAGGTGACGCGGCTCAAGCAGCGACGCCGCACGCTCAAGAACCGCGGCTACGCGGCCAGCTGCCGTGTGAAGCGCGTGTGCCAGAAGGAGGAGCTGCAGAAGCAGAAGTCGGAGCTGGAGCGCGAGGTGGACAAGCTGGCGCGCGAGAACGCAGCCATGCGCCTGGAGCTCGACGCGCTGCGCGGCAAGTGCGAGGCGCTGCAGGGCTTCGCGCGCTCCGTGGCCGCTCGCGGGCCCGCCGCCCTCGTGGCGCCCGCCAGCGTCATCACCATCGTCAAGTCGGCCCCGGGGGCCGGGGCCGGGGCCGGGGCCGGGTCGGGCCCCGCCGTCGCCCCCGCCGCCGCCCCCGGCCCCACCGCCTGCTCCTAGTGCCCGCCCCGGCCCCACCCCCTGCCAAGCCACGCCCCTCCGACCCCCCGCTTCCTTCCCAAAGTGCCTAAGCGTGGTCTCTGTCCCCAGGTGCCATTTTCTCTGCAGCCCCCCCCCCCCCCCCCCCGTGGCGAACACATGATCCCTCCCGAGCCTGCTGTCTTTCTCGTTGTGGTCCCTATAACTGGGTCCTAATAGGTGGCCCTGGGGTGGGACAACTTTGGTGAGAATGGTAGGGTGGTGTTGGAGTCCGGGGTCTCTCTGGGGTCTCTCTTGGCTGAAAGTCCAGCCTTCTTAGACTGGGAGGATGGGATACAGAGCAGATTAGGGAAGGGCTGTCCCGGAGAAGAGGGCCACCCCTCATTTTGTAAAGCATTTGCTCAGATCATACCCTAGCCCCTCTGCACCCTCCCAGGACTCAGGACTAGGTTTGGCTCCTATATGTGTCTCCTGGGGCTGGGAAGCTGATGCTCCCGCCTCTGGTCTGGGCCTGGGGGTGCCTGGCCTTCCAAAGCTGGGAGAATCAGCAGACATCACCCAGTGAAGGCCAGTTAACAGGGCAACAGGCCTCCAGCAGACAGGCCAGTGCTCAAGGCCATCTGTGCTTCGTGGCTGAGCTGGAAAAAAGCCAGGTCTTCCCACTGCTGCCCTGAGATTCCAGCCAGGGTACCAGCCGGGCTTGTCAGGGGCATTGTGGCCACAGACTGGAAAGGATGATGGAAGGGCCTCCCTGGCCTGGGAGCCGCCTCTGTGAGTTAGGGGAAGAGAAGTAGAGGGCCCGAGAAAGTGATACGGATGGAAGAGATGGAAGGAGCTGGCCAGCCAAAGAGAAAGGGGACCAAGGAGGCGACCATCGACTGTGGTGGGTAGGAAGATGAGAAGACAGATCCTGAGGTCTTGCAGCCAGGGGTGGGGGTCCTGAGAAGGACCACTGTACTGTGGCTTGGGGGCTGGCCGCTGCCATTGACTGCCATTCCCCTGGGGAGCCCAGGCCCCAACCCTCCACCCCTGTATACAGCTGTTTATTTATTGCACGAATCTAAGTTATTCTCCCCAGCCAGAAACCTAGCACCCACTCCCTGGGAACAGTGGTGTGTGGCCCTGTGCTGGACTTTGTATTTTCTATCTGCAAATCACATTTTATCTTATATTTAGGGAAAGCCGAATGGCAACAAGCAAAAAAAATGTTTTAAAAAAAAATTTGCCCGGCCCCCAGAATTTATTTATTTTCTGACTTACAGTAAGCGAGTTATCCGCCTTCTGTATTTTGTAGACTTCTGAATAAAGTCAAGTTCTCTTTTTCCACAGTGAAGAAGTCTAAGTCCCTGGGCTATGGGTTTTTTGCGGGGTGGGTGGGATGCGTTCTGAATGAAGGACTGAAGCTGGAGTTCTGTTTTCAACCCCAGGCAGGCCCCTCTGCTGGAGGGGAGGACTAGCTCTTGCTTGGGGGGAGTGGTTTGGGGGGGGGTTGGTGCTAAAACCTCTGTTCTTCTGTCTGGTTCCCTGGAGCGTCCCAGGGGAAGACAAAGCCAGGAGGACAATGAAATGTAGGGTTAAATCCCTGGCATCCCTTCAGTGAATAAACAGTCCCGCCCAGAGGAAAATTCCCGGATTTAAGAGTAATCTTTCCAGCACTTTCCCACCGAGGCCTGACTTTCTACAGCCAAGTAGAAAGTATTTTCCCCATGTTCCGGAAGGCACAGGGAGACCGAGAGAGAAGTGGCTTCTTCAGTCCCAGCCTGCAGGCCTAAAAGGCGACCGTGTGTCTCATCTTAGGCTCCAACTCGCTATAATCTCAGCCCAATCTGCCAGCCCTTTGGGGACAGCTTGAAAAGGAGGGGAGGGTACAGTTGTCTGTGGGTCAGGGAAATCGGAGTTTGAATCCAGGTGTGCCTTTTTCTAGCTGTGTGGCCTCTGATGATTTCTTCAGCTTCTTGCAGCCTCACTGTACCATGAGGGCATAGGTGTGACAAACACCAGGAACCCGAGGGGCTGCAAGCTTTAACATGCAGCGCAGACGTTCACAACAGCACGCGCACACACACACACACACACACACACACCACACACCCCACACACACAAACTGCAGTGAGGAGGGTTTCTGTCCAGAGAGGTGGCAGGGCTGGGCTGAGGGAAAAGGCCACGTCTGTGGCAGCTGTGAGCTTTGAAAGTTGGGGAAGGGCCAAACCACACGGGTTGGCTGCGTCCACTGGCCTTTCGCCCCCTCTCAGGTTGAGGCCCGCCATCCTGATACCCGATCCTGGGATGCTGAGCTCAGGCCTGCGAAAGGGCAGCAGGAAGCCACGGGCGGGACAAGTGGAGTTTCGTGGCTGGCTGGGAAGTTCCCCCGCCCACGCTGCATTCCCGAGCGCTCCTGTCAGCAGGACAGCCCCTCCTCCCCAGAGGCGGGAGGCCGGAAGGTGCCCTGTGTAGCCAGGCACCTGGCCTGGCAGCCCGTGGCCCCCGCAGCCTCGGCTCCAGAGGCAGGGACCTAAGGTCCCACAGTGGGGAGTGGGCTCAGGGAGGCAGGAAGATAGCCTGCAAGGAGTAAGGAGTCCTGGAAGTCTCTTCAAGCCCCTGGGAGACACCTGTAGGAATGGGGCTGCCCGTGTTCCGGCGGGGCCCCCTCTGGCTGGCTGACAGAAGGGACAACGGGGCATCAACCCACTGCACACACCAGCACGGGAGGGTGGGCCCCTCGTGACCAAAGCTGCCCCTGGGTCCCCCCCGAGACCGTTCGTCCAGGCGGGAGCCTGGACCTCAATGTCCGTCTCTGGCACTGTGCGTTCCCCCATCACCTACACATCATGCCCTGGAAGGAAGCCAGCTTCTTAGGAGACCCCTGCCCACAACCGCCAAACCCAGCCCCAAACACACACTCGGGGCGGCGGGGGAGAGGAAGGAAAAAACCGCACCCACAGGCAGAAGAGATTTCAATACAATCTATATTATCTCATATATATATACTTCTCACTTTATTTGCTCACTTCTGTCACGCATTTAAAATGTCACAGAGACCAAAATAGAGCGGCTTTCTGGTGGAATTCATGGCAGTCATACACGAGATACAAAACTAGGGGACTCTGTCCTCTCATACATCATCCAGTTCGGTTTTCAAGTATTTCTTATGTACAAAGATCTACTCTATCGGGGGGCGGGGGAGGAATTAAAAAAAAAAAAAGTTATGCATCCTAGGAAGGAAGGGTGGCGTGGGCGGGCCCGCGTTCCCGGCCCCTCGGCTCCGCCGGAGTCCCCCCAACCCCCGTGTCCCCCCACGAACCATGCTAGCCAGCAAGTGCCAGGGTGGGCCAAGACCAGGGGGCAGGGAGTCGGCGGCACACTTTGGCCTGGAAGGAGAATCACACAGATTTGTGAAAGCAAAGGGGGGAGTGGGGACCAAGGATCTCGGACAGCCTGCTCCCACCTGCCGCCTTCCCGGGCAGCTTGGGTACCAGCTGGCCAGGCCCACCGGACAGGCCCCTGTGCACAGGCCTCTGTGACCCCGGGGGGGCTGGCTTGGTCACAGGGCCCAAGACAGCCTGGGAAGACGACTGGGGTGGAATCCCCCACTGGACCCTTGGCATACTTCATTCCAGGAATGAACAAGAAGGAAGAGACTCCAGGGTGAAGTTCTGGTGCCACAGGGCAGGGCCCTCCTCACCGTACCACCTTCTCCAGGCTGTTACAGCCCAAACCCAAGTGCCATCTGGGATCCAAAAGACAGAACGCTCCGCCTGCAGGAGCTCCTCCCAAGACAGTGGCCGGTGTAAGCCAGCCTGCCTGGGGGCTCTGGCCCTCGGAGGCTCCGCGTATATGGGTGTGGAGGTGAGCGAGGGGAGGGGAGGGGACTGGCGATCCTGGCCACCCCTAAGGCCTGTCCAAGGGTGCCTGGCCCAGTGCTGCAGGATCCTCTGAGTGCCAGGAGCTTGATAAGGGCCCCCAGTGAGTGTCTGCGGCCAGACAGACTGAGGGCCTAGGAAGGGGCAGCTTTCATATGTGACTAAGGCACAGAAGAGATGGGCCGAGGGGCCAGCCGAGGCAGGACACCAGGCCCTGTGTGGGTACGGCGCCAGGGAGAGGAGTCTGGGGTCACTCCTCCCACTTCCCAGCTCCTTGCTGCACGCCCCCTCCTTCCATCCTCCCTCCCATGGGACTGTTCCTCCAGAAGCTGGTCTGACATGTGGAGACTCAGACCTTCCCCTGAAACGGGAAGGAGAAGCCCTAGGGAGAGACCAGGACCCTGTGGAGGTTCTCACCGCTCAGCCTGGGAAGGAGGGGCTGGGAGCCGCCCACCCTTTCAGCAGCCTGGAAGCAGGGGCTCTGCCCAAAATGGCTCTCCAGAAGACAGACCCCAAGTGATAGGGCAGTGTGGGCTGCTGGCTGCCCTCAGCAGGCCAGGAGGAAGGGGCATGAGGCAGGCAGGAAGGGCAGCCACGGAGAGGACACCCAGGGGCCCAGAGAGCCCTGCCTGGAGAGGCCTCGTCAACAGAAGAGGGGCCCAGATGCACCTGAGTGCCCTTCCGACACGGGACACGTGGCTCTTGGTGCCACTCTGGTCCTTGCAGCATGCCAGGCAGGCCTGGGTCAGGAGGGGCTGCGGGGAGCATCTGGGTTCCCTCCTGCCCCTCTGGCCCAGGGTGAGGCTAATCTAGCATGGACAGGGGGCACAAGGGCGGGAGCAGGCAGGAAAGAGCCCAGGTCAGAGTATTGCACGGTGTTGGGGACAGTGCTGAAAGTCTCATGGGGGAGGGGGTGAGCCGCGTGGGGGCTGAGAGGGCCGCTGGTCCACCATGGGGCCACAGCTGGTCCCACCATGCCGCCGCAGGACAAGCCACAGGGGCACAGCAGTCACGCCCAGCGTCCTCTGTCCCGCGCCCGGAAGCAGGGGTGGCCTCGTATAAGTATTCCTGAAGGCTCGTTGTGAGCCTGGGCTGTCCCCTGGGCTCACAGCTTCTGGCTGTTCCTCCAGAAGTGACAAGTGAGTGTTTCTGGTCCAATA